GGAAATTGATTAATTTTTTACCTCTGCTGATTCTTCATATTATTTGAATATTTATCATTTGAACTTTAAAAAATCAGTTAATGAATTCGCTAGAAAAATGTATTTAAAAAAAATAATGGCAAATTTGAACGTATTTCACCTTTCCTGTCTTCCAAATGGAAAGATAGTCACATACTGACTCACACAGAAAATTTTTTGATCTAAAAATCAAAAAAAAATACAAGGCAAACATTTTAATAACTTTTTTGGTAGAAAAAAAAAACTAATTATAATTTATAATAATCTAGATGCTCAATTAAAACGCTTTGCATCATGGTTGGAATTTTTAGTCCTGCTCTTTTAAGTCCTTTCTTTACTTGGAGCACTTTCAGCTCTTTCACAAAGTTTTTAGCATTTTTTTCAAGAATTCTAATATGTCATATCAAGCTCAAAAAGAGTACGCTCCACATTATAATGTTAAAAATTATGAATATAATCTATGATATTAACTATTATTGTAGCAACATTAGCGTCAAGTAATGTGTATATACATATGTAGATATACCGTGACTTCAATAATGCGCTTAAGACGTAAAATTTTACAAAGTATCAAATTCCAAAAAGTTTACTAAAAGCTCTTGACATTGTACACTTTTCCAAAATGCGTTTTATACGTAATGGAGACGTAAAATAAAAGTAAATCGGGTATCGAAAAAATCGAGCACGCTTTTCTTATACCTTGTCATATAAATGTTACCAGATATAACCGATAAAATAAACTAGCATATATTTTCAGCAATAAAGTGCTAGCTATCAAGTTTTTTCCAAAATAAAGCATAAGAATGCTATTTTTCCAGTAATGTGGTAACGTTTGTTAGTTATACAAAATTTAGTGTCATTTGTCATATTTCAAATTCATAAGCAAAAAAGTTTTTTGAAAACATTCACGTATATGTTATTTTTAAAATTTAAAATAAAAATGGAAAAAGAGCAGTAAGTTATACCTTAATTCATTAAATGTAATATTGATTTAACATTTAATTTTTGCAGTAATAAGAAATGGACCGTGGATAGGAAAAAATTATTGATTACAGTGAGGCTGAAATACGAAAGTGAATTCGTACCAACCTTTTTAAAAAATCCACGTTATGGAACAAAATATATAATGAGATCCTTGAAGTAGAACCGGATTTCCCATTCAATTCAATTGAATTATTTACAACAATATTTCCGAACACATTCATTTTTTTAAAATTAACATTTGCACAGAACTTTAAATTGAAATTTTCAAACAAATGTCAAAGTTGTATTGATATGGTAAAAATTGTATTCCAAAATGTATCAAAAGCTTTAGTAGTTTTTTTTACAATGTAAAGGTATTGAAAGCTCTGAGACGGTACTAATACCGTATTAATACCGTACTTAAATCTTTTTTAAAGCATTATTTAAGTCACGGATTTCATTAGAATTGTACTATTTTTAATTTCTTCTAATAGTACAAAAAACTACATACAACTTTGAAGCAATAAATTTAGAAGTTTTAGTGAGAATTTTGAAAATTTAAGTTGAAAGGTTATTATAAGCAGCATTATTTAATTATTTTTACCATTTTTCCAAAAAATTTTTGAAAAAAAGCGCTTATTAGTTTTACTCTGAAGTTGAAAGCTGAAATTTAATATGTGAATAGATCTTTACTAGAAACTTATTTCCATAGAAGAAAATTTTTACCTTTCTCCCCCTTATAAAAGTTATACCCCCCTAAAACCCTAAAAATGGTACTTTTTACCCAATTATTATATAGTTTATTTCGTTCGAAATTTTTTTTCGATCCCCAACCCGTCTCAAGTTATCGCCTCTTGCAATTTGTAAAATTCGAATATTTTACGTGTAATATTTCCGAAACCGCAAACTTTTTCAAATTTCTATGAACGCAAAAAACTAACGGTTCATTCTATGACATTAAAAAATATAATTTTTTTTCATAACTCACGCAATTAACTATAAAATCAAGCATTATGTTAACCGCTCTTTAAATTAATTTTTGCTTTATTTCAAAGACTGCTTAATCGTTCATCCTAAATATATGCAATCCTAGAACTAGTTTCGTTTATAAATGAAAATAAATTTAATAGTGTCGCAGGTATACATAGAACGTATTTAAATTAAAAGCAGTATTTTCACTTATTGAAGGGAAAAGTGCTACAATACAAACCATTGGTTTGACCCAACTTTATTTAATTTTAAAATACTCAACAAATTCAATTGTAATGAATGAAAATAAAAAAGTACATTAAATTCTGAAAAATATAAAAAGTTTAGTTCATTTATGGGATATTCTTATGTATACAAATTATAACATAAGGTATTAAAATTAATATGTCAGTAAAACTAATAATTCAAACAATTTTTTAAATCGTAATAATTAAATCTCTCTGGAATATAACTTGCAAAGACCTTAAAAAAAGAAAAAATGACGAAATTTCTCTCAAAAAGAAAAAAAAATTTCACTTAAAAAAAAAAACCAGACGGAAAACTTAGAAAAACTTTATAAATATGTGATAAACGTCTAATATCAAAGTACTTATCAAACATAAACAAATATTTGGTTATACCAAAAACCGAAAATTTTGGTTGTAGATTATAAAAGCGTCATCATTTCCTCTCATTTTTGTTCAAAAGGTATTATCCCAAGGATTTTGCATGCAAGAACTTTATAAAGTTTTTAAAAACTTTCTTATACCAGACAGACCTATTATTTAGCATTAAACATACATATTGATGTGTGTATGGCAATCTGCAATCTATTTTGGTAAATTCATTTACATATGTACATAAGTATTTGGGTAATTTGATAGGTAATATTTAATATTACATTTCAAATTTTATGTACATAATTCATATTACATATTAAATTTTAATATTAGTATAATATGAATTTAATATCAGATTTGTCATTGGCTTTGGTATTAAGGAATTACACTTATGTATGTACATATGTAGATATTTCTGAATTAAGTGCCATGTAGACGATGATTTTGCTCCACCGATTTCGAGCAAATTAATCTGTAGTTCGCTTTCTTAAATATTAAGTCCCCTAACTCTTAAACTGGTTCTTTATGTGGTCAAAAAGGCTTCACATAAACATTTAAAAGATTCCCAAACATAACATTAAAAAAAATATTTTGCGTTTAGTAGGAAAAATTATTTACTTACTTAGTTGTGAAAAAAATGTCATTTTTAACTGAAATTGTATATGTATGCATGTTAGAAACGGAATAAGTACTACTTTAAACGATTGCTTTTAAATGATCACTTTAAAGCTAAAAACCCTATATGCATATGTGTGTATGTATACATGTACTTAATTAAATTAATAAAAATTTAATTATTCAGTTTCTTTGTTATTTCATTTTTACAATTGTTTTTATAAAAATTTATTTTTACTTTTCCACATTTTTACATTTATTTTTGCATTTTAAATATTTGTGATGTCTTTTTAGTCTCTACTTTTCGATTTGATTTTAATCAAAGGTCAAGCAGTTTTTATTCTAACACAAAATGAAGGCGTATTTTAGAAATAATAGGGAAAACAGGGGAGACTTGAACCCTTGTAATATTTGATTTATGTGCATTGTGTGAAAAACTATAATGGCTACAATTTCTTGACATTACTAAATTTCTTTACATCGAGCATTAGCTATTATTTTGATGTTTTTTCACTTATTATCATGTTATTATTTCCGAATTAGTGCTTTTTGAGATTTTTTTAATTAAAAATTTAAAGAGATTTTTTAAATAAAAATTATTTTTTAGAAAGTATAAATTTCTTGTAATGCAAAAAATTTTTAAATTTATTAGTAATAAAATAATTTTTTTTTAGAATTTGTTAAATTCGAAAGATGAAATTAGGTATATTTCCTTACTTTTATAAACAGCCAAAAAAATATGTTTACTTTTTTCAGAAAACCTTACTTGATGTTTTTTCAAAACTTGCAAAACCCACAAATTCTGTTTTATTTTTTCACCAAATTTAAAATCACTTTATCTTATTAGGATTCTTAATTGATTTTTTTTTAATATTTTTTCTTTAACGAACTGAACATGATTCAGGTCTTACATATTTGAAATATAAACTTCGAATGAATAAAAATTACAATGAAATTATTTTGTATACACACATACGATGAAGTTTCTCATTTACACGTTCTTAAATTTCGTGTACACACATTATATCCACAAACAACTGTTTGTTTGACAATTAAAATTAAATTATTTATATATTTACAATTTTATATAAATGTATTTATGCACACATATGTTTATAGATAGAGAAAACTACCTATACGTATATGCATATGTAGATATTAACGTACTACGAGACCTCTTCAAACCCGTTTAACTCAAAAAAACATGCTAAAAATGGAACCAGTTACAATTCTTTTAAAATATTCTTATGAAATTTTCTGTTTTACGTGCTATTACTTACATATATTGATGTATTAAAATATTTTATTTATTAAATTGAATACAATATAGATACTTTTTTTATTTGATTTCTGCTTATATTCATATGCTACAATTATTATTAGTTATTAAAGGTAAACTCTTCTCACATTTTCTGTAAGCACATATTTTGACATTCCTTTGACATTTTTTTTTGCTTGATACGATTACGTGTGTTGCATGTGATATGATTGTTAATGTATGTAACTTTAACAATGTTTTTTGTTTTTTCATAGAATTCCAAGTTTTTAGTGAATTCTCTTATTCAAAAATTAATAAATTACAGACTGCGACAAAAAAAAATAAACAATTTGGTAACAATATACGATATATATAAATATATTTTTTTTTTACATTTTGGCAATGTCATTATATACATAAATAAAAAACATTAAAGAACATTAAAATTATTATCAATTGTTTATTTTCTACACATACATAATATGCATATAAAAATTTTCTTCTTAGGCTTATAACTATAATTTTAAGTTTTCTAACAGTTATAGCTATGTACAAAGGTTTCTGTTTTCAAATTAACCAAATAGGTATACACTTGTATTTAAAAAAATAATAAATTTACAAAAATTATTACTATTTAATAAATTATTAGATTTTAATAAATAGTAATAAAAATTTTAAGTAAAATGTTCTATTAAAATATATTACACTGATACGAAATTAGCTATGAGCATTAAATTTCTGTACTAATAAGGTAATAAACAAACTTAAACTAAAAAAAATTTTAATAGCAAAAAATACTTTTTAACTAATTTGAATAAAATTAAATTAATAATTTATCTTTAAGTCTTTTGGGATTATTTCTTGAAATTTGTTTGAAAAAGATGTTTAATATTATATCAATTAACGAAGAACAATTATTTTTAAGTATGTCTTTTGAAACTTATTTTTCCTTGTTTTTTTAATCATTTAGGCCTTACTTTTTCATACATAAAAGATTGCGGTTTATTTTTATCTGGTATCGTTAATTTTTTTCGGTTAAATTCAAATTGCTCCAAAGCGAACTCATACAATTCGTTCTCCATTTTCCAGATCTTAGAACCCATAATTTTTTCAACGGTTTCTTGAGTTGGTTCTATTTTTGACGTCGTTTGTCGTAAGTGTGATTTATTTGAATTCAAATAATGTTCGGTGAAACCTTTGAATATTCTGAAAAGCAAAAAAGGTAAAGATTAAAAACAACTCTACTAATTTTCAGTCTCACTGAACTGTACGTATAAAAATACAAAGTTGTTCAAAATAATAGCATGTCAAAGTGGCCCCTCTAGTTAATAATATTGCATACTTACGTATATATTACTTTTTAAATTAGTTAATAACTTACCTCGGTAACGATTTTTCAAGTAAATCAATAAACGACTCCATTTCTTCCGTAACGCCTACTAAGAAATATTCATTGACTAAATTATGTTTTGCTTGATTTAAAGCCCATTCGCTTCCTGGTTCCCTGTTTCGTTAATATAACTAAAACATATTAAATTTCTAAATAACGTAGTAAAAACATACATACCAACACTCAGATGCATGGCCACAAAAAAATGGAATTTGCAGCCACATATTTTTTGGATCACAGTCTGGTTGCTTTAGTTTAACACATTCATCAAAAGTCTGAAATTAATTTTAGTATATCTAGTTGGTTATTGAAGAAACACATTAATTATCATGTATACAATTTTGTTTCCAGCTTTTTTTCTCACTAAGTTTGGTCTATAATTATCCCCGTAACGTAGAAAATAATAATATGAAACAAGTCTATCAAGTGGTTTACGAATTAAGTTTAGGTAAATTGGTTTGGTGATAGTTTGGAATCTAAAATTTTTATTATGTTTAAAGTGATTTTTATGAGAATTTTCAACATTTAACTTAGAAAAATCGAGATAAGCCATATGACCGTGATAGAATGCAGGTTTCATTGCTTTCCAACTTGTTACATTTTTAACAAATTTTATCTGAAAATTTATTAATTTCAAACTTGCCTTATCCTACATTTTTATAATTTAAAAAAAGCATACTTGATTTGGAAGTGATAACACATGCATATTCGCTGTCACATTGATATGTAGAACATGAAATTTATTTTTTTTACACAAATCTAAAACAAATTCAAAATACACAAATATGGTCAAATTGTGTTCATTGTTAAACAAGGGTTTTGCAATAAAAACTCACCATAAGCAATATTTACAAAGGAAGTAGAACCAGTTTTTGGTACACGATTATATAGCACTACAAGATCTTCATTAGAGTCTATTATATTTGTAACATCTGTTATTTTATTTTGCTTGGCTATAAAATAATGAGCCTTTTATATTTTTTTCATTATTGTATGTGCCATAAACTTACCTTCATGTAATAAGGCGTTAGGTTTTATTTCCGAATACAAAAGAATATAATATGTTATCAAAACAAAAATTACTAAAATAAACAACAAAAGTAGCTGCCGAGTTTGCAACATTTTTAACTTCTTGTATTCCATTTATTATATTCAACATTTTATATCATTTTTTATAGATTAATTTTATTCAAAAAAATTAGATAATTTTTAAAAATAGTTCCCAAATAAATAAAATTTTGAAAATAATTTTTAGTAAAAATGCTTGATATTTCGAAATATACAATATACATAAGTCAAAGTAAAGTGCAAAAGTAACTGACAGCAAAACAAGTTTTATTGTCAAAAATTCAATATATAGTATTACCATTGTTGTGTTGTGTTCCAGACCCGGGAATCATTTAAATTATTGCTGCCTAATGGAAGCCCGCTGGCCGTTTACGACTCGATTGAGAATTTTTTGGGCCCTTCGCAGATACAAAATATTTCAAAACAGACTAAGACACCCAGTAAAAAAACAAGCCACTTTACCTATTGTGAAAATGAAGATAAATAAAATGTTATTTTAAAAAACACCAATTCTTATTTTGTTTTTTTACGATTTTGTTCTTTTTTCTCTTATAAAATATTCATATTGATTTTTCCATCTTATACATATGTATAATCATTTTTAATTGTTTTTTGTTACTTAATCAAAGTGAACTATTGCATTGAGAAGATTTAAATTTGCTTGGCCCTTCAAAATTTAATGATGAAAGTTCCTCTCTGATTATATAAAATAGACAACACTTCTTTATATAGTTAGAGAAGGTTTAAGTATATTCAAATAAGCATAAACATACATATTAAATAGTTTTCCAAATCGGAAAAAACGAGTTTTGATACTATAAATGTTTGACGATTTATACTAAACTTACATTTTTAAATACAATCAGCCAAAAATGAGATCATAAATTCTGTGTTTTAATTTTAATTTGTTAAAAAAATTGTTATTGTATATGTATGTGAACCCTGTATGACATCAAAATTTCTCTCACGGCAAATAATAGAAATTTATCTATTTTCATCAGATTTTTTAGAAGAAACAGTAGATTGTGCTAAATGACTGCAATAAATTTTGCTAGATATTTTTTAATACATTATTGTACAACACAAAGAAGTGTATTATGTAGTGAACTTTTTATTGACTGTAATTTGTAAAGCATTATGAGCTGTTCACATTTTTGAAACACTGCGGCAATGCCAGTCGCATGAAGTATCGAAATAATATTCAATCAACTGATTTATGGGATTTCTCGAATTCGCCTAAATGGTATAAAATTATTTCGAGCGAAATGTCAAAATTAGGCGAATAAAAATTGTATGTAGCTAGAAGTAATTTTTAAAACTTTGTAATGATTTTCAGTTGATAGTTTATATTATTTTCGGACTTTAGGGTGGAATAGTAAAATAAATTTTAATTTTTAAATATCTATAAGGTAAACGTAATTAAAAAAAAGATTTTTAAAATAAATAATATCTAGTATAACAAAATTAATCGGCACTCGATGAAAACGCACTTTCATTTATTTCTTTAAGAAAAAATTTTAAGATATCTATTCAACATAAAATTATTTAAAAAATGTTTTTATTTTTATAACCTACATTCATTTTTTTCCTTTTTCAATAACTTCGAATGTCATTTTCTCAAAGCTCGATACGATTTTCAGGTATCTAGGACATTCAGGTGTTGGCAAGCCATGATGCTATGTCGGTGAATATTCGAATAAGTCATTCGCTTCGAATACATATTCACTTTGCGAACCATAACAAATCTTTTAAGTAATGTAGGTTATATCGCTGTGACATGCAACGCCGTCGCAGAATTTAAAAAAATTGAATATTTGTCGTTGCAACATGTGATAAAGATTTAATGACAAACGTTGAGACGAAATAAAAGTTGCGAGAAAAACTGTCATTATATTATTATTTCAAAAGAAAAATTAAAAAAAATACAAAGCGATTTAAAAAACTAAGAAGGACGACATTTCTGCGACATTTTGTACGACTCTAGCTGTCGCAAGGAAAGAACATTGTTATTTGTTCCTGAGTTGTTCACTTTATTCTTATAATATGTGTAATCACACAAATATCATTCAACATAGTACATAAATAAAGTAAAGATCGAATAAACATTAGATCACGTTATTTTACAGATGGTAGCACTTTTGCAATATGAGCTTCCGGTTCATAAAAATAAATACATATGTTTCAAAATTACTTGGAAAACTCGTAGTAGATAAAGCCAGAAGTAAAATAAAAGGATATTTTATTTATAACATACATAAGGGCTCAATAATTTTATTTAATTATTTGCACTATTATTAAATTTTTTTGAACTAAATAAAAAATTTTTGACTAATTTATTAACTGTACAATTTACAAAGATTAAAGAATTTTTTAAGTAAAGTAGATATAAAATGTCTGCGGTAGTGCGTGTTAAACGTCGTATCAATGAAGAGCCACTTACAGCATTTGTATTAAATTGCAAAAAGAGAAAAATAGAAAATGGTGAAGAAATAAATGTAGGGAATGTATATGAATTGAAAGAAGAGGTATCTACTGTACTGAAATTTGCAGGAACCGTAGAATGTCAAGTATGTAGCTAATGTTATAAAAAAAAGTTTTAAGTATGGTATTAAATTATTAATTTTTAGGATGAACCAGTTACTTCACAAATTAATCGCATAACTAAAGATGATGCCAAAATACTAACATCGAAACAAAGAAAGCCCTTAAATCAAACAGAGAAAATGAGACAAGAAATGAAAGATCATATGCATGAAAGCCGCTTCAAAATTGTTAACTGCTACCGTGCTGTCAAAGATTCTAGTGACGGAAACGGCGAACAAGGAGAAATCACTGTGGTCGATATTGAAAAAGATATGGTTCCTCATAATGATAGAGATAAAATCAAGACTGATTACAATGAACAAGCACCTTCTACATCGTTCCATCGTAGTTCTATAGCTGCCGATAATTCAAATTCATTAACAAATTTTAACTCTGAAAATGAACTGCCAGATAATTATGTGTATGATTTATATCTACCAGAAAATGATGAGCAACCTGCACATTTTGACCATATGGATAATTATAATATAAGGTTCGTTTGCTATACAACGAATAATTTTATTATTAGTAATCGATACATTTAATTCTTATTACAAATAAGCCTATATTATTTCTCTGAATTTTATGCGTATAGTATTAGAGAGAGTTAATTAAGTATTATGCTAATGTAGATATAATTTATAGACACAATGTTATAGATTTTTAGTTAAAAAATTTATAAATAGAAACATGACGTATTAAGTTCTTTAACATTAATTTTTTTTATTAGAATAAGTTCGAATTTTTTGAAAATAAAACTTGAAATTAAATAAATAAATAAAACCCAAAATATGAAATTAGTTTTATTCTTATTGTAGTTATATATTCTACTAAGTTTTATTTTCAAAAATTTCAGAAACTTAACCAACGTTGGGTTATATCAATTATACTTATCGCAAGTTTGCATTATACGGCTTTATTAATATTAATTGCTTGTGCTGCGTGAATATGTATATATGCATGTACATAAGTACATGAGTTGTACCTCAGTTCGTATATACCTAGTTCAGCATGTATTTACAGTTATTAAAAGTTTGGTTTTGAATACGATTTTGTATGCTTTTAAAACATACTCGTGATAATTCAGAAAAATTTTGTTTAGATATAGCAACAAAATATAATTTTTGACTAGAAATTACACATGCATATGAACATTTACGTAAGTTTTTTTTCATATTTTAGTGTTGGCTTTATTGATAATTTAGTATATGAGGAGACTTTTCGTGATATCACAGAAAACTCTGATTCAGACGACTCAAACTGTGAAGATTACTACAAAAATGATTATCCGGATTCTGAACACGACTCTCTTGGCAGTTCCATAGATGAAGAAAATATGAGGAAAGCTGTAGCACGTTGCAATATTAGTAATTGAATTTACCAAATTGCTAATTTAGGCAGAGTAAAATTTTTGCTCCATTTTTATAGATGATGAGTATAGCTTATCAAGCGACGATGAAGAATGCAAAAATGGTTTCGTCTACTCAATCGATTCTGAAGGAATAGGTTTTGAAGATGATTTAGATTACTGTGATGTTAATAGATATGGAGAAGCTTATGCAAGATATAAAGCAAGAATTTTAAAAAAAAATAAAAGTCACGATTATGATAGCGATTTAAGTGATAGTAATTATACTTCTGAATAAGATTACGAATAAATTAAAGCTTCAGAAGCATAAAAAATACCACTTACTTTCTGATAACAAAACTACTTTGACAGAATAAATTGAAGGAATGTCACCAAAGCACTTTCTAAATTTTATATTCTACAGGAAAATATAATATGGCGAATATATAAATATATACGTACAGGCATATGTATTCTATTGTTCATGGTCCAAAGTTTGTTTTTTTTTTTGCATTGAAAGCTTTTACCTTATCATTGCAGCTTTCTAAAAGGTTGTCAAAATAAGCAATATTTTTTAATACCTATTTAGTTTTTCTTTTATAACGAGGCAACGCCTTACATTTTTAATTTTCGGCATTATAATTATTTTCCATCAATTTTAAACTGCTGTTAAAAAAAATTAAAGTACTTTGGATTCAGTTACATACATATGACATTATAATAGTAATATTATACACTTCTTCTATATGTTTGTTGTGTATACATGTTTATGTATTTATTAAAAAGTTTGGTAAATTAATGTAATCAATCCACTGTAAGTATATCTGCATACATACATACATTATATGTTTATCCACACTTGCTCTTCTTTTGATTGAACAATATTCGATTTTGTTAATAAAGGTTAAAATTTAAAAAAGTTAGTAGAAATCTTTATATATACTTATGTATGTATTGCAAAATTTAAAACTTCGATATAAATCGAAGTTGTTAGTGAAACTTATGTACAAAATACATCTAAATATCTAATAATATAAAATATGCCCTTCGTCAACAATTTATATTACGAACATAATATTTACGCACTTTTATTAGTGTTGGAGAACTATCGATATATAGTACAATCGATATTTTCGATATATCTTCGCAAAACTATCGCGATATATCGATCAACTGTATTTAGAGGTATCAACAACTTACACAGGCATTGCAATGTGCATAAATTTGCCAATAAACAGGCAAGTTGAGATATTATGGAATATTAATAAAATTATTTTATACATTGAAAGGAAAGAAGGAATATTAAGAATATAATGAAACTCAATTCTAGCTTCATTTCACTTCACGTTTTCGGGAAATATTTGGAATGAAATGAGAAGGAAAATTTTTCAATTTTCACTGATGTAATAAATTAATGTGTATACATGTGAAAAAAAGATAGTTGTAAAAAGATAACATCGATAGCTCTCCACCTCTAGTACATACGAATGAAATGAGAAGGAAAATTTTTCAATTTTCACTGATGTAATAAATTAATGTGTATACATGTGAAAAAAAGATAGTTGTAAAAAGATAACATCGATAGCTCTCCACCTCTAGTACATACATATGTAGGAAAAAATTGAAACAAATGTGTAAAAGGGAAATAAAGTTGAGTTAACCCAGTGGTTTGTGATGCAGCGCTTTTCTCTTCAGGAAGTGAAAATACTGAAGCATTATTTAATAAAGCAAAATTTTTTTATAAAAAAGTTTTTTTATAGTTTCTAGTAAAGATCTGTTTGCATATGAAATTTCAGTGCATATCTTCAAAGTATCTTCGTTTGCATATCTTCAAAGGTCTAGATGTTTTGTAAACATGTCCATGGACAAACGGACGAATGACTGACATTAATAAGCACCTTTTTCAACATTTTTTTGCAAAAGTACTAAAAATAACTTAAAACACAAGTCATACATACTATCATAAAAGTACAAATTCTTATATATGTATTTGTATGTACGTTATGTACATTATGATTGTTTGTATTCTGATAAGGTTCCAAAATAAATAAACAAGAAAGAGTTTGCTAAAAATTTAATTTTAAATAAATATATTAAGATACTGGTGATCAATGAATTAACTTAAATGTATACTAGTTTTGGATAATTTGTAGAACATTATTTTTAAGTTAGATATGTTCTATAAAAATGTTGTGTATTTCTACAAAATTAAGACTTCAAGTTATAGTGGTATTTGATATAATGTCGGTAGGTAGATTAAATTGGATGGACCACATTGTCTTTTTTTTAGGTTAGAGTTATAACTTAACTTAAGTACATTAATAAAGTGTTCAATTGTTATTTCTTTAAGACTTTCAGATAGTGTGAAGAAGAAATTGTGATTCTTTTGAAAACGGTTTAAAATTAATTAAATTCTATACTTTACGTTTAAATCAACAGTATACTTGAAATGGAAAAAAATTCTGAGTGAGAAATAAAACCGTTGTTCTTTATATTGTTAAAAATAGTAATTTTTTTATTTGATTTCAGTATTTTAAACGATCTGAACATATTTCCAGAATTTAAGAGTGGCGAATTAAATGAATTCAGAAAATTATCGTCTTTTTGTTATAAGAAACTTAAGTTATTACTTCAAAGCGAAGACGAAATCCGATTTCAGGTTGATAAAATGATTTGTTATCAATAAAATACTTATTAAATTTTATTGCAGTATAAAATATGGAGTTTTATGGAAAAACATCCAATATTTCAACGAGAATCACTAGTTTTATCTATGGATGAACAAAGGCATATTGCAACCAAGCGTCAAATGGTACTGTGGAATGAAAAGATGTATTCAATTAAGGAGGTAATTCTTCGAAGTTGCTTTCGAAATTTAAAATTAAATATTTTAGCCAAATATAGAATTAATATTTTTAGCTAAATATAGAATTAAATATTTTACCGAAATAATAAAATAAATTTGAATAAATTCATCAATAAATAAATTCACAAAATTTTTCAAGTACATGGAAAACCCGAAATTATCAAGTGCTTTTACACAAGCGTTGTATGCTTATGATCCTAGTATGTCTGTGAAATATGGGCTTTGCTTTGGAATGTTTCCATCAGTATTAGTTACTTTGGGAAGTGACAGATTAATCAAATACGTTGAAAAAAATTTAAAAGGTGAAGTGTTGGGAGCATTCGCTTTAACAGAAATTTCTCATGGTACAAACGTACGTGGAATGAGAACGACTGCTACTTATGATAAGAACACTAAAGAATTTATTTTACATTCTCCGGACTTTCAAGCGGCAAAATGTTGGGTAATTTTTTTTTTCATTTTGTTATTAACATCTTTTCTTTATCTTTTAAAAATTTTCCTTAAGCATTTTTTTTCCTTTGAAAGGGGTAATAAATAGATATATGTACATTGATAATATACAGTAATTTAGTAAAGAGTACAATATATAGTACAGTGATTTAGTAAAGAGTACAATATATATCGTTATTTAGGGCATCAAAAATGGGTAAAATTTTTGTTTGGAACTAGTTTTCAAAACGAAACGGTTTCCGGGATACAGGGATTTTAACGAATTTTGACGAAATTTTCACTTGCTTTTTTGCTTATAACTTCCCTTCCGAAAAAGACAACGGTTTCAAATCAACAGTTTCTGAAAGAGCTAGTAAGGAGCTTATTAAAGCAATATATTACTTTATTTTTTATTTTATGTACTTTCAGAATACAACGCATTCGAACTTTGGAAAAAAACCAATTTTTTCCATTAATTTTTTATCCCCACAATTTTTTATTGCAGAATTTTGGCCACTTTCTTAAGCTTTAATTTAAGCCCTCAAAGGATAAAAAATATTATACGGTACAGGAGATATAGCATAAAAACCATTTCTTGTCAAGATTTTAAGGGCCCTAATAAAATGTAAAAAACCTTATTGAGATTGTTAAAAATAGCTAGAAAAATTATGTTTAGAATGGTAAAAAGAATAATTTAAACGAATTGTTAGCCAATACTTAAATCTATTTATTTTATTAAATGTGAAATTGATTTTTGTATAATATTTTTGCGGCTGAAAGGTCGGAAATTTAGGAAAAACCTGTACGCACGCTATAGTATACGCACAATTATATACTCAAGATGGTAAACACCATGGATTGCATTCATTTTTGGTACCAATACGTAATACTAAAACTCTAAATACACACCCGGGGATAGTAGTTGGGGATTTGGGAGAAAAAATTGGATTAAATGGAGTAGATAATGGGTACTTTTTAACTTATTTTTGCATACATACATAAGTAAGGTTTAAATACAGTTTTTTTATTGTTTCATTGTATACAGTTTTGTGATGTTCAATAACTACAAAATTCCAAAAGAAAATTTGTTATCAAAAACCGGCGATATTGATGAAAATGGTAATTTTTTTTCGAAATATTCAGATAGTCGAAAAAGATTTGGTGCTTCTTTAGGAGCACTTTCGTCTGGCCGTGTTGGTATTTGTGGTAACCAAATTTTTTTAAATTTCAAAACTTTGAGACAACGATGCTATTTTAGGTTTGGTAGCGGTTGGATACACTAAAGCTATAACTATAGCTATTCGCTACTCTGCTTGTAGAAGACAATTCGGGCCAAGTGATGAGGAGAAAGAGATTTCAATTATTGAATATCAATCTCAAGTAACATAGAGTACTGTAAAAAATTATTGAAAAGGAATACTAATTAATCGTTTTTTTAGCAATACCGCCTTCTGCCACATTTAGCAAATGTTTATGCAATACGGGTTTTTGCAGCATGGTTATCAAATGAGAATTTAGATATGCAGATTGCTTTAATTACAGGAGAAAGAGATGTATCAGATGTAGGTATGGAAATACATGCGTTATCTTCTGCTGCAAAAGCGGTTGTAGCTTGGCTCGCCCAAGATGGGATTCAAGAATGTCGAGAAGCTTGTGGTGGACATGGTTATTTAAGGCTTAGTTCGTTAGGAGAACTAAGAAACGACAATGATGCAAGTTGCACATATGAAGGAGCAAACAATGTATTAATTCAACAAGCTTCGAATTGGTTAATTAGTTTGCGAAAAAAATCGAAAGAAGAATTTAAAAATGTGTCACCTCTAAAATCAGCTGTTTTTGTTTCAAGCATGGACAATATATTAAAAAAAAAATGTACTTTTAAAAATGTTGATGAAGCTCTGTTTCCTGAAAGTAAGCGACAGTTTTTATTATTTGTAATTGAAGTAAATTTTTTAATTTTACAGATTTGATGTTCGTTCTAGACTGGTTAATTTCATGGCAATTAAATGTTACCGTAAGCAAGTGCAAGTGCCTGAAAGAAGAAGGAAAATCACCCTTTGAAATTCGAAATGAGTCGCAATCTTTTTACGCCGCAACTCTTGCTATTATATATGCACACGTAAAAAGTTTTTTTTTTTCTATATTATGTAATAATGAAGAATTTATATTAGAGAATGATTTTCTACGTATTCCATGAAAAAGTAAAAAATCTTAAAAATAGTCCAGAAAAATTGGTGCTTGAGAAAGTTTTATCATGCTTTGGAGCTAATATAATTTTGAAGCATTTGCATGTGCTATTTCAGGTAAATAAAAACAACTCAACTCTATATTGATATGATTTATATATTTATACATTTTTTATAAAAGCACCTAAAATTTAGAAGAGGTATGTAATATACCTGAAATATAATACTGAATCTAGCTCAAAACGTGATGAACATTGCCAAATTCAAACAAAGGCTTTTTGCCTAAATATAGATGAAATTGTAAATCTGTTTGCAAAAAAGACTATTAGTTCTATTTTTATCGTTTTTTAAAATTTACTACAACTGTTTAGTTCTATTTGCAATCTTTCAGTTTGGTACAGCATATAAGTTCTCAGTTTATTCAGGTAACGTCAATATTTTTCTATGCGTTAAATATATACATACATGAATTCAAAAATGTTCGCAATTGTTACAAATGTAAACATTCAAAAAAGTTTATAACTGCTACAGGCATAAAAATCAGGCAATGATCTTTATATTAACATACATATTTTGGTTACCGTTTTTATATTATTTTTATTGCATTTAGCATTCGTATAATTTACTCATTAAAGTATCTAATGTATTTTTTTTGTTAAAGGGCGAATTTTTTGAAAATGCGCAACAATCATATTTTTACCAAGAAGGCATTTTGAAATTGCTTTCAATTTTGAAAAAGGAATGTATTTCACTAGTTGATTCAATCGCTTTTCCGGATTTCATTACAAACTCAGCTTTAGGAATGAGTGATGGAAATGTAAATTTAAATAGCTTTAAAAAGCTCAAAGCTCAATGTTTTTTTTTTCAGATTTATCATTATTTGCAGCGTGCCATACTGACAACCCCGGGTTGCCTTGAACGGCCTAAGTGGTGGAAAGATATTGTTTTTAAAGATTATTTAAAACACAAATTGTAAAAGAAATATTTGTTTATTTTTTAAACTTTTTATACAAAAAGTAATCAACTTGTGCCTATTACTCCTGAAATTTAGAAATAGTTTGAAATTTTAAAATTTAGAATAATTTTTTTTTTTTTTAAATTACTAAAAGCGGTACCTTTAATACAAAAGTATATATGGTGGAGGAGGTGTAAAATGTATGAATAAGTTAATAAAAATTTGTAAACATAATCGACTCCCTGGACTTTTTATCATTTCAGATATTATTTTAAAACGCAAATACTATATGCAATAAGCTATGGTTATTTATTTGCAATTATATGCATTCGTATCCATAATATCATTGAAGATTTATGAAGATTACAAAGTCTATATTAATGAAAAATTTCAGATTTTTTAATATTAGAAAAGGTTGCTGTGTTCCGTTCCACGATAAAATTGTCATTTTTTTTTTTTCAAAAATGAAGAGTTGAAAACGCCTAACATCTGAAATGTACTTACAACATCGTGAACACAATGTCACATTTTTTATCAATATCGTCTGCAAAAACAAAACTATAAGTACTCGTAATATTGCAAAAAGTAATTATGCAACTTGTGCTTTTTAAACTATTATAATTCCACTATTAGTAATTATTGAACGGTTTTAAAAATGTAACGAACACAGAATATATAAGTTTCATAGCGCAAGTTGGAGAAGTAATTACAAAAATTAAAAGAAAGCTTAGATTTATCAAGTCGAAGAAAGTTTAAACAAAAATAAAATGTATGTGATAACTAAGAATCTGCAAATCTCATAAAAATACTTTTCTTCAGTACGTTGTTTTACAAATCTCTAACGAAGAAATATTAAAGCTTCTTAAAGAAAGATCCTTTTTAAAAAAAGAAACATTTTTGAATTTTATTATTTTTTAATTAATAAAGCAAATTAAAATATTTTTTAGAAATCTTAGTTCACAAATTTGTTAAAAAACAAAAAATACAAAGTTATATTGAAGGCACATTCAGAATTTACATATGTAGGTACTTTCCTTAAAAGTGCTCATATAGCAGAAAGTATTTTTTTATTACGTATTTCACTATACGTAAAAAGCAAAACTTGATTAGTAAGAAAAAAAAATAAAGTTTTTGGTTAAATATCTTTAACTATTTTGTTTCTTGGCTTATGCTGATTATGGCCAAAATTTTCATTTTTTTTTATCGTTTTTGAATTTGAGAAAAATTTTCCCAAGAAACACCAAAATTCCTATTAACAATTTTTCAATTTAAGAGCGAGCTCTAGATGCCTTTTTACTTTTATCAACTTTTGGTGGTGGGCCGACTCCACGTCTTGACTGCATATGACGATTGTATAATCTAAAACGTTTAAGTACAAATTAGTTTTTTTTTTAATTTTAATTATAATAACTTTTACATTTTATAAGTTTCCGTTTTCAAATATTCGATAACATGGCTGATCCCCAAGAGATATTGTTCAGCGATTGGTGTTATCCAAGGATTTTCTTCCATTTTCATAACAGATTTACTGCCAAGTAAATCTAAGTTAGCTGTTTCAGGTGGTAAAACTGTTAATCGATTATTTTGTATGTGTAGTTCGCGAAGTCTTGGTAAATCACCAACCTCCTTTGGTATATCCAATAAATCGTTGTCTCGTAAACCCAAGATTTGTAAATTTTTTAAATTACCAATCTCTGGTGGTAAAAACTCAAAATCATTGTCGCCCAAATAAAGCGCACGTAATGTTTCCATCATAAAAAAATTTCCTGGTAAAATGTTTTCATTTAAATTATTATATGACAAATCAAGAACTTCAAGAACTGGAAAAGCACCAAAACCGCGCGGTAATCCATTTAATTTATTTATAGAAACATTCAATATACGTAGTTTTGGCATAGATGATAAAGATACCGGAAGTTCCTGCAAATGATTGTTTGATACATTTAATATTTCCAAATTAATTAAATTTGCTATTCCAGCTGGTATTTGTGTCAATTTATTATGGCTCAAGGTTATTCGAGTGATATTGATCATAGATACTGAAATAGAAAGCAAAAACAAATCAATAAACAGTTAATTTTATTTTAAGATTTTTACTTATGTATAACTATGTATATAATTTAATGTAGGCTACAGAGTCTTTTTTAAGCCTCCGTGACCTTTTCACATAACTACAAAATATTAAATTTTAAACCGTCATAATATGGAAAAGCGTTTAATCTAACTTTTACAACACATTTTTGATAAAATCGTTCCTTTTATCCAAAAATTCGAAAATTAAAAAAAACAAGACGTAATTTAATAAATTGGTGGTTTTTTTGAATATTTGGAAACGAGAATTCAATTGAAAAAATTTTTAGTGTTTTGGGAAAAAGGACATATCCAATTAAACAATATAATTATGGTTTGAAAATGGATAAAGAGCGAGATGAACGGTCAGGTTAATAATACACACTTCAAAATTCAGGCACATGCCATAAGTTAATAATGTAGACATGATTTACCACATCAAACTAAATTTTGTTAACCGAATTTAAAAAAAATATCTTATTTTACAAATATGTATGTATCTATGTAACTTTCTAAGAGACTCAACAATGTCATACATATTTATGAACCGTATAAGAAAATCCTTTAAATTTTAAACAGTTTTTTATCCTTTATTTATACCTGTTGTAGATTTTGACTTAAATACTTTTAGTTTAACTTACGTTTATAATTATTGATTTAGTTAATAACGGCATAAAATTATTATACATACACATAGGCGAATACTGAGTTTTGTTTTTAATCGTTATAAGTAGGTATATGAAAAATTATAAGAATTAATAAATTTCATGCAACATGTTAAATGTATTGAAAATATATAATATAATTCGCATTAAAAACAAGAATAGGTAGAGTTGACCGTGTCAAATTTGTGATAGCCGCACGAATGACTGATTTTAAGAGCCGCCACATTGTTTTATATAGGTACTAATGTATAATGCTTAATCTTATGTATAAGGATTTTAAATGTAAATAACAGCCATATTGTCAGCACTGTAATTTGATCGTTTAGCAAAGAAATTTCAACTTGTTTTATAAAAATATAACAGCTCTAATAAATAATTTTTTGTTCTTCTAATACCGTAGCTTCTATAATTTGTGAGATATAGCCAAATAACTTTTGAAGTATGGCAGCTATCATAAGTGGTTATGATATTCAAACAGATTTACCGAAAATAATGACCATATTTGATATTGCAAAATTTCAGTACTGTAGTTTCAACAATTTCTAAGTTATGACCCTTTGAATTTAAAAAAAAAAAATTAAAGAAAAAAAACAAAAATTCTGACTTTGACGAGCTTTATCTCAAAAACTATGACACAAGTCTAATTGATTGTAAGACTTAAGTCGATCATATTGATTGCAATAATGATGATCAATTATCTGTAAAACAAGCCCACGACGCCTACTGCATGTCGGATGGTTCTAAAGTTATAAGCATTTATTTATATGCAGGAAAAAACTTTACCTTTCTTTCAACAGGCTGTAGCTCGAAAGTGAGTATATCTGCACCCTCCCCAGTCCAGTTCCATCTAAGAGGATTTTTTATTATTTGCTACTACACTCAACAAAAATTTAAAAAATTTTTAAAAAATATTGAATGGGAAAAAATTTAAATATAAAACAATGTATGAAAGTTGTCTATCTGGTATGTACATAAGTATATTATCTAATAAGTTATATCTATTACTTAATAATGTATACACATATGTATATACATAATCTGAATTTTCTATTAAATAAAAAATTTGAAAAAAGGAACGGAACGATTAATATTTTATTTCAAGGAAAATTTTGTTGAAACTTTCTACATAGATACATATGTAGATATAGAATTTCATTGGATTTTTAATTAGCAGGAAATTGTAGCGAAGCTTAATTTTTTAACTTAAACCTTCATTTTTAAAGCTGCTTTAAAAATTTAACAAAGAGAACCAATAATATAATTACTCAGAATTGAATTTTATACAAAAATTAAAATGTTGCCAGGCGTAAAAACGGATTTTTACAACATTTGAAAGTCAAACAAAAATCATATTTTAAACATTCAATTGCGATAAACTAATTTTAGCATTGTAAATACCTGCTTTTCATAAAATGTTTTGTCATGTAAACAACTCAATTTTATTCTTACATAAACAGAGTATACTTATGCATATTATCAATATTAAACTATGCTACTAATCAATTAAAATGACACGAATTTTTTTTAGCTATTATTGGCCCCTTATTTTACTCTAATCTGACCAAATAAATTTCCAGCTCTATGCCCATCATAACGTTTTCTAAAAACTGACTTATTTTTAAACCACATAACAAATTTAAGAGAATAATGTAAAACTATATTTTTGTGTTTATAAATTTTTTGAATTGTTTAGAATCAATTTTTAAACCAATAGCATACATACACACATATGTACATACATATGGATGATATTGTGTTGTATCTTCGAAAAACAGAAATTTTGTTTTCTTTTGTTGGTAGTTGTATTTTAGTATTTCACCTACAATTATCTACATTTTACCGTTATTTCAAATTTTTTCTAACAAATAAATCGTTATATCCAATGAGTATACCTATTTAAAACCGAAACACTACCTGTTATCATATGTACCACAATTTAATAATAAAGAAAATACGAAATGGAAAAGAGTAAGATAGAAATATAATTTTGTGACAGGAACATACTTTATACACATATATGTATGTATGTACAACAGCCATCTTTTTATTACATTATAGCAGTTTATGAATTTATACATCATATTATTATTGCTTATTGTATCTGTGGATCGACTGTCAGCCCTAGACATTTAGAGAGAAAAAAAGACAAAAAAAAGAACACAAAAGTTTCAACGCACAGCCGGCATATGAAAAAGAAGGTAGCTTAAAGCCAGATGACCAAACCGCAATTTTTATTACACCAAGGATTGAAAGATAAATATGTAAGTCATTTTGTTTGAAAACTAATTACGAAAAAGATTATTACTCATACCTATAATTAAACAAAGAAAAACATATCAAAAATATTTAAAAAAATAAACATTTAACACAATAATAATAAACTATGTAGTATATATAAGTATGTACATATGAGCGTAGAACATAATATATTTGCAAACAAAGATACAGAGCATCCATGATAATTACAACTTCCATTTGTGATTTAAAAAAATATGCAAGTTGAAAAGAAGATAAAAAGAGATCTCTTTTGAAAATCATTTTAAATCTCTTACCAAAAAGAACCATATTAAAACCGTTCAACTAATATTAAATTTCAATTTATTCCAATGTTTACAAATTTGTATTTTTTTTATAAACATTTATGACAGCTATCAACTTTCAAATAGGCAACTTTCCTTGAATTCTATGTTGGTCATAAAATAGGGTCAGCCAGAAGTGCTTTAGAGCAATGGCGTTTATGGGAAGTATTTGCATTTCTACCACGTATTAAAAACCGAATTTTAACAATCTCCTACTTTGCATTGCAATAATATAATATGGAGCTTGCACTTCGTTGTGAAAACGTTGTTTTTATAATAAGAAACTCGAGTCTTATTTATTTTCTCTTTTCTCTAACAAGCCTTGATTTCCTTGTCATCGGCTAGAACAAAATTACCAAAAGAATAATTTTGGTATTCGTTCACATCCAAATCCAAAAGATTGAAAACATAAAAGTTTATTCTATTTTACTTACCTTCTATCATCTTATTTTTATAAAATAAAATTTTTTAAAACTTTTGAAAATTAAATCCTAAATTTGTAAACATTACGAACTCAAATATATATTATTATGTACATATGTACGTAATATATACATATATATACATATGCAAGCTATATGAATTATTTTTCTTCAACACAACGAATTTTATGGGGTCTGTTTAATAATCCATTTAATGTACGAGTACGATAAATGTATGTATATATATATATATCTACTTATATATATCTACTTATATATATCTACTTATGTATATATATATATCTATTTATGTTTATAGTTATATATCTACAAAATGTAAACAAGGATGATAAAAATTCGTGTATATAATAAGTGATTTAACCTCAAAAATGTTGAGATAAATTCAAGTAAAATAGGAATGAAATAATAATAAAAATTGTATGAAAATAATAAAAAACAACAACGAAATAAGTGTATGTATATCATGTGCATGTACATATATCAATAAAAATAAGTAAAAGATAATGTAATAAATAATATTATATCAATTTAGCAATACACAGGTGTATATAATATACACATATACATATATATATATAGATGTCCGAGGATGGTGCTACTTTTTGTGTTTGTATTTACAATTGGCGTTATATTTACAGTAAATATATACATAATTATGTTTATACACATAATTATGTATCTTTAAATTCACACTAGACTATTTGACGTTTACTTTTTGTTTTTGCAAGATAATTTTTAGTTTCATTTTATTCAAAAGAAATTTTTTTTTTTGGATTAAATGTAGTATATGACAAATTGTACAGGATGAACAGGATATTTGGCATAAGGTGGAATATAAATTCTCACATAAGGGATGATTCTTTGATCAATTTCCAGCAAAAAATTGTATGGATTGGCGGGTTGGGTGATACAGATATACTCGTTTACGAGTTGCAGTCTGTTGAAAAGAAAATGTACCAATTTTTTCCCGCATTAAAATGCATAAGGGTTTGTACCTTCGTAAAAATTGTGACATAGAATAACTGTCGGGCGCTTGCTTTACACGTAAATCATTGCACTTTATTTTCGATCTCACAATCAATCAGATTTGAGGCACAGTTTTCGAGATAAAGCTCGTAAAAGTCAGATTTTTTTTTTTTTTTTAAATTTTTAAAAAACTCAGTTTCTTGAAAATTTGTGCAATTTTTTTTTTATTTCTTTTCGAAGCGCTACAGTGAGAACTTAAATTTAGCCCTTATAATATTTTCAAATGCGTCTTAAAAACACGCGAAAAATTCATCGTTCATACATAATTTCAAGAGTCGCATACAGTTCGTCCAGGTGCGGCACAAGCAAAATGCACAAAAATGTACAATTTGCATTGGAAAAATGCCTCTCACGGCACTAATGTACACATTCCAAGATTAACGACCTCTTTCAAAAATAAGGCAATTTTCATACTAAAAATAAAGCAACACTCATGACATTTCTCATTTTTTCCCCTTTCTTGTTGTTAAATTAGAAAATGGAATAAAAAAATAAATAATCTTTGGATTAATATATAAATAAATATTTGGATTATTTATTTTTTTATTCCATTTTCTGTAATGTGTACCTACACATAATTTATATTAATTATTTTATCTCCCTTAAAAAAATGAAAAAATTTATGTTTATAACACATGTTCTATTTCGAAGAAATGCATGCTATTTCGAATAATAAATTATTATAGGTATACATATATCTAATATAATATACTCAAACTTCTTAACATCTGCATTTAAAAGAATTTCGAATTCAGCTAACTATGTACAAGTGTAGATTAATGTTATTTAGATTCATATCTTTTTTAGTCCGTATTCATAAGATATATTAGTAAGAACTCAATGGCTTCTGGGACAAACCAATATTACGTATGTATGTATGTATATAAATGTTACGTATGTATGTATGTATGTCCGTGTTTATGTTTAAAACACTTTAAACCATTTTTTTGCCACTTACATGAAAAGAAAAGTAACTAATTTTCTAATACCACTCATTAAAAGAAAAATAAAGATTGAAACTAATTTGTAATTTTTAAAGTAAACAAATGAATATGTACATACATTTTGCAAATTATAAATACTTAATGAAAATAACATAAAATTCCCAATGACCAAATTAATATAGCTTCAGTGCAGAAAAAAAAATTAAACCAAAAATTTACCCATGCTCCAATTCCAATATCATAAACGTAGATGCTTCCGCATGCAATACATTATCATACATAAACGAACGTTATGATCGAAGGGAATTATAAATTTGTTACTCTATTTGTAAAGCTTTATAATATATGCCAGAGCTCTATTTAAATTTAATAATATTGAAGCATAAGTTCAGGTAGTTGCCATACAACTTCAAGAGCTATTTGACTGTATCTCATCAATTATTGAAACTATAGTATTGAAAATTCATATAAGAAAATATATTTTTATAGCTCTTATGTATGATAAAAGTCATTGAAATTGCTTGACTTTTTGTAACTAACATACAACTTCGAGAGTTATTTGGTCTTATCTTAGAAACTATTGAAACTACAGCAAAGTTTTTGAAATTGTATGCACTTATATGTCATTTGCGTATATAATAGCAGTATATACACAAACATACAAAAAAGAAAATATGATATAAAAGAATATATGGCAATTAACAACCTAAAGTTAAAATATTCATTCGGACGTGTAACACAGAGTCGACACAGTCAGCTATACCTAATTTTGTTTTATTTATACTTGAAAAATTCTCTTTGAAAACCAAGTTAAATTTAAAAAATTGTATGTATTAAAATTATTTTATATAATATTGTATTTATCCACTATAATTTTGTTTTTTTTTTATACTTGTTAGAAATATGTTTTTTTTTCTTTTTGCACTTATATGCAGTGTTGCCACTTTGGCCCAAATGCCAAGCGTGGGCTATTGTTACTTTTAAAATTTTTTTAGGCCTCACGGTCCATCTTTTTCGTATTTACATTTCTTAAAATAGATATATAAAAAATTATGCACCTACCCTTAATATTGGTGATTATTGAAGAAAATGGCATATATTTTACTTCATAAATATAATAAAATACGCTAAAGATTTAATTACTTCTTAATTAACTTCTTAAAAAATTTGAGAAGTAGTTTATGATTATACAAAAACTAATATCTCTTTGGCTTTTTAAGTAAATTAATTCCAATATTTTACTATAATTTTTTTAAGGAATAAAAATAAAAATAGCTAATAAAATTTTGTAGAATAAATTAGAGTTGATCTTCCAAAATTCATTAATATAATAAGAACTTAGTCAAATATTTTGCCTAAATAATAAGTGATTAAAAATGATTAAATTAGTATGAACTGTATTAGTAAAATATTTTTATAGGTGCATATAATTTCGTAAAATTAATAAAATTTTTTTAATTCAAATAATTGTGATTTCTTTGTTGTAATAAGTATTATGTTTTTTGTTTGCTCATATTTTTGTATTCAATACATAATATGTATATTTAAGTTTTCGTTGTATTTTTTGTTTTAATTTTGTTCTTAAATTTTAATATTTCATATAAATTCGATTTCTGACAATCAATAAGTGTTTTATTTGTAAAGCATATTATAAATTTTGGTCTATTTTTATAAATATTTAGCCCATTATTTTTTTCTGGAGTGGCAACACTGCTTATATATGCATACATTACACATTATCTATAAAGTTTCTAGTAGAATTTTTTTTTGAAGAGAGTGGTTACGATGTATGTATATAAATACTTCTGCAAAAAATATATAAAAACTGTTTTTGTTATATCCTCTGTTCTTTACTATAAAAATAAAACTCAATAAAGATCAAGTAAAGTATCTCTAAACAATCAATAAGAAGTCAACTAGTTAAAAATAATAACATTACGTCATGATTTTGAAAGACGCGTGGGTATGACGCTCGTTTTGTTCACTATTTACACTAAATACAACTTAATAATTAATAAATGATATTATTTATTTGTGTTGTGTACGTGTTAGCTTCATTGGTGTATTATTTTTTCATTCTCATTTACCACAAACTACCAGCCGCAAAATTTTAATCAAGTTTTTTATCTAGACATTTTGAGAGTATACGGATTATAGTAGGCTTAAATTAAAAAAAAAATATTTTTGTAAAAACGAGTACGCAAATTTTCGTTGAAAAATTATAACAACTTAAATACATACATAATAAAGTTACTACAATTTCCTCAAAAAAATGTTAGAATTAAATAAAAATTTATTTTATTCTGGTACAATAAAAATAATTTCAGAATTATTTTTTAGTAATATGGAATAGATATTAATGTTTAAATTAATGCTTCAGTTTTTTCTCTTTTTTCAACTTAACTGAGAGAAATATAAATTTTAGTATGAAAAAGAAAAAAAAAGTGATTTCAAAATTGAAATTGAAAATACGAGAATCATAATGTGACCAAACATTTTTTATATTCTCATTACTCATATAATAAAAAACAAAACAAATAGGAAAGATGAAGTGAAAAAGGAACTACAAAAATATATGTATATGTGTATAGTATATAAATATGCAAGTGTGTAACGTGAATTAATTCAAAATATGTGAAATAGAAATATAGAATTGAAATACGAAATTCAGAAAAAATTGTGAGGAAAAAATAACCTTTTACTATATTAACGAAATTTTTACAAGAGGAGAGTTAATGTGCGCTTATCGGTGTTGTGTGTAAAATGGAAATATATAACGAAAATAAATAAGTATTTACCTACAAAAAGCGGAATATTTATATATATATTTTAAATAGTAATTATTAAAGAAAAAATAGAAAACATTTTGCAAATTTAGAAATTAAAAAAAATTGGTTTATATATTTTGCTCTAAACAGTGTAATTAATTTTTCTTGAAGAGTGTTCAACTTTTTATAAAAAAAACACAAACATATACAAAGTAGGAAACATAAGTAGATATATACTATGCATATTTACGAAAAGAACCGAAAGCAAAAAGAAATAGAAAAATGTGTTATTTTATTGCTTTCTTTTTTTAATCGCTGTCATCATCCAAAATTAATACCTAAAATTTTCGATGTTGATGTGTTTATAAATTTAGTGATAGGACTTAATGGTATTTTCTTTTTTTTTGATTGTTTAACAGTCGGATTCGCTATAGTGAGATAAAAAAAATTTGAGTTAAAAGTTTATTTGCAATTATATTAATGTGGTATACATTACAAAAATTAATTTTCAAAAAAGTAGATATTAGCCACCTACGTAATTTTTATTGCTCTCAAAAACATAAATAAATTTGCAAACATTTATTTATATTTATTAATACGTAATTATATATAAAACATTTTTAAAAACAAAATTTTGTTTTTAAAACTTTAATTTTATATTTATTAATTTGACTATTTGTTATCAGAACTCAGACACTAAATTTTTATTGCGCTATTATTTTATGACTCAAAAATCTTGTACCTACCTACATTAGGTTTCAAACAAACATGTAATTAAATAATAATACGGTATAAATAAAAAGTTTTTTTATAGTCAATTAAATTTATCCAAAAACAGGATCAAATCTATGCAACTTTGAGTTAGTAATTTGCAATATAGTAAATATCAATTTAAATCAAAAAATCGAAAGACGTTTTACTGAAATGTGCAACTATTTCTAATAAACAATATAAAATTTCCTATTTGTAAGTCCTATCACTAATTATTTTCATCGTTTTCATAAAAAAATAATTTTATGTTAGTGTTCTAATTTGATTTCGTTTATCGTTTTGTTGGATGGAGTTTACATTTAAAGAAGTAACTACCTACCTATTAAAATATAAAATAGAAAGATTTTATCCATTAATATAAAACAAGAGAAAGCAAACATTTTGTGATTTTTGTGACACTTATTTGTACAGCAGGGGAAAAGTGAATAAACTAATAATTCGATAATAAAAATCAAATGAAAACAAAAAAAATGAAAACAACAAAAAAAAATGAAAAAAAAAACAAAACTCAGTACAAATAAAATTAAAAGCATAAATACATTTTTAAAAATAAATTTATTTTTTCATTCAAAAACAATGTAAACATGCTTTTTCTTTCAGTATAAAACTATTCAATAGCATAAAAAATTTTTATCGATTTTTTGTTTTACTTTTTAATAATAGAATGATTTAATATTTTTACTGAAAAAAGAACACAATTATTGTTAAATGTGTATTTAAAAAAATTGACAATATAATTTTTATTTGCTATTTTGTAACAGTAACAATAATTTTTGACTTTTAAGAAATATGTAACTGATCCGAAAAAATTCATGTACATATGTGAATGAATATGTGTGAACTGTGTATGGCTTTAAAAAAATCAAATACCTACACATATGCATTGTTATATAAAGTATAAGGTACAAAAACAAGACCTTGAAAAATAAAACTAACAAAAACAAAATTTAAATGACAGAAATTTTTAAGCTTTTTTTTACAGGTAGTGTTTTTTATTGAAGTAAAACAAAATTACGTTTACATTATCGCCACCGATTGACTGTGTCATTTTATAAAAATATTTTGAGACATTAAATAAATTGATATATACATAAAAAATAAGAGCTTTATGTACATACATAAATTTATCTGGCAATTTCAAATTTTCACATTTGCCTATATTCATACATACACATGCTCATATAGTATATGTAAGTGAAAAAAATATTTACATCCATGTGTATATAATGTTATAATTCAATCATTATATTTAATAATAAAAAAAAAACAAATTTTAAAATTGTTTGTTTAAATTTTATTAATTTTAAAAAAAAAAAAACTGAATTAAAACAAAAGAAGACAAACGTTTCATTACTAAATATTCCGAATAAAATTCAGAAAAAACCGCTCAATTAGGCAGCTTGAAATTTTTTTTTGGAAATTTAAGACAAAAACTACCTCTATTCTGGATATATTAATTTGAAAATAAAAAAAATAGGTAAGGTTAACTAAATATTATTTGTTAAATTAATAACCATTTATAAACCATCTCATAACAACAAAAAATGTGAGTAAATGGGTATACTCGTAATTGAATGTATGTACGTATGTATGTACCTATCCTATTTTGTATGCATTATAAGATTCGCGATCAATTTAAAAAATATTTCAACTTATATCTGCAAAAAAAATTGTATGCGCAAAGAATTATTGTTCAAATATTAACACTATCAGTAACATCGTAAATGTTTTGAATTTTCTTCATATTTTTTTCTTTTGTTTTTATTAACAAATTGAAAAAGTCAAGAAAAAAGTGGTTTAAAGGAACCTGTTTACACTGCATATGCATAAAAAATTATTGTTCAGACATTAAAATTACAGATACACATAATTTATATGGCCACATATTATGAGTGCTTATTGTTTTTTATATATAAGAACATAAATGTTTATTCGAATTATCTTAATTTTTTGCAAGGTTTTCCACATATGTATTTAGTTTAAAAATCGTTAGTTTTAGACTATGTAATGTTTCCTCATCCTTCGCAAATTTCTGCGTTTCGATAGTTCGCGGGGACTCGTTACTTTGTTAAAAAAATTAAAATTAGCTTATAGGAGTGAATACACACTACAGGGAGACTATCTATTTTCAATTATATAACCAAAATAACTTTTGATTTTTGATTATGTACTGAGCTTCATACGAAATAAAAGAATTAAGTTTTTATAACTGTTATCTAAGAACGAGCCCTTATTTTGGCAAATTTATAACCGAAACTTCTTATTTTGTATGAGCTATTCCATACTATAAATAAAGCACTGCCACTAACATTAATTTTTTGAGTGTTACACGCACAACTTAGTAATATATTTTATATATAATATAGAGTTTCTATTTTTATCAAATACAAATCTAGAATCTTCCATGTACATATATATATGTATATATGTATATATTTTATTTGGTTTAGCTTAAACTTTAAATTTCTAAAATTTTTAAGAAATGTGCACCATATACATAATATTTTTATATCTGCATACTTTATCTAAAAAGAGAAAAAAAGAACAAAAGTAGTAAAATGTGTTTTTCCACTTTAATATTTATCATTGAAAATCATAAATTTATTTTCATGAAATTGACCTCTTTCTTTTTGAATTTCTCTACAAAAATTTGTTCATAAATTTATTTTTAAATTATCTTATTTAATTTCATATAAGGTCATAGCACTTTTTGAAGGTTGACTTCGTAATTTCTTTTTTTATTTTGATTATTTTTATTTAACTTTATTAAAAATTAGTCGCAATAAAAAAAAACCAATAATTTTAACATAAAACTATTTGTGTTTGTAGACAATTTTTTTATTCGCAAATAATATCTATATATTATAACTGAACATTAATAAGTAAATTTGAATGCTACATTTATTTAACATAATAATAACTTACTCAAAAACAAATTAAGTTATATAATATAATTATATTTGTAAGTAATCGATTTTCGGTGAATGTTTTTTTACACATTTAAAGTTTTTTTACACGTACAAGGAAATTTAGAGTTTAATTAATATTAAAAACTATTTATAATAATTTTTATTCAGGGTTAAATTGTAAGTAAATTTTTTTACGTCGTTATATCATTACATATGAATACATGTAAGTAGTTATGTTAGCTAAAAAATTTTTTTATTCGCAAATATTTTATTCTCAATTGAATAAGATTTATAAATAATTCATACATTCGAAACTGATATCAAATTTTATATTACGTTTTTAATTATAAATTCTAAAATTCAACAACGATAGAAAAAAAAGTATTTAAAAAAGCTGTACAATGTTGATTATTCATAATTTGTGAATTTGCTTTATTATTTTACTTCAATAAAAATAATCTTTTTTAAACTGACAAAATAGTTCTAAACAATATCATTTTAAATGGAAGAAGTTTTTAAAGTTTTTAAATTGAAATTTGTCGCCGTAATTTAGAATGTTTATTTAAAAACTAAGTAAGATTTAATATTTTATTTTAATGTTTTTTTTTTTAATGTTCCAATTTTGACTAAAGCAGAACTCATATTCCTCTAACGCCCAGTTTATCAGTTGTTATCATTAGAGATAATAAAAATAAGCGTTATGTGATAAACTATTAAAGTTTAACAAAAAATATTTTGACTCATTATTTTTGTAATTAAAGTTCTAAAATTAAAAAATATTGAAACAAGAATTTTTGCTTTTTTTAAAGAAATATTTTCCGAAATTCTCTTGACAAATATGTTTATTCTCTTAACAAATATTTTTTGCATTATGATAATTTTCGAAATTTTATACTTAAACTTTTTCTAATACATTCTTCATTTATGTGTATGTCCATAATATTTTTATAAAATATTATTTAATTAATAACTAATAAACCTTTTGCTATTCGTTTTTCTTTCAGGATTGGATATTTGTAAAATATTGGCAAAACTCTGACTGAAATTATAGAAAATAAAAACTGTAACCAACAATGGTTTATATAAATTAACTTTCTGAAATTGATTAATTCCTATCTTTATATGGAATTGTAAGGTTATATTAAAACTAAAAATAAATTATGAATCATAGAATAAAAGATAAATCATCACGACCTCTATTGTCACAACTTGACACACAAATCAACGATCGCAATAATACTACAAGTAGTAGTACTAGTAGTAGTAGAAGTAGTAGTAGTAGCAGTAATAGCAATTCTATCAGGACGTTTAGTTCGTCAGCTACATCAACAATAACAACGAAAACAGAAAATTGCACATCAACTTCTGGAACTATTCAGTCATTATCAAACGAACAAATAAAAAATGAATTAGTCAATATTAACACAGACGTACAACTAAAATCATCATCAAAAATTAAAACTATTACTAAAAGTTTATTAGCTTCTACAAAAGAAGTTGCAACAAATCTCAATCAAAAGCTTTTAACAGTTAACCGTATAACTGCGAGACCAAATACCTTAAATGTTATCGCGCATGAGCAAAAATATGTAGAGGCAAAATTAATCATCTGCGAAGCATTAAATGCTTGGCGATCAAAGGCTCGATGTAATGTTGTACAAGGTGATCGGTTAAAAGAACTTTTTAACGAATTACAGTTTAATCCAAGCTCGAAACAAATAACCGAAATATTGCAAACTGCCAAATTTTTTACACGTAAAGGTGATCGTCAATTAAATGGTTTAACTTTCGGAGAGTTTTGTGTTTTAGCAGCAGATCTAAAACGTTTTAGATCATGTAATTTTTCATCCCCCACAAACACTCCACCATTAGATTCCACCCAAGCAAAAAAAACGTCATCGAGTGATGAATCTACAATGGAAGATTCCTTAAAAAACCCTAATAGCAGTCCTGAAGTATTTTTAGGAGGTTCTTGTAACCCAACAACATGGCGTGCTGATGTAGCTATTCCAACTTTAAGAAAGCTTGGCATTTCATTTTATAATCCACAAGTATCACATTGGACTCCCGATCTAATAGATTTAGAATACCGAGCAAAAGAGAAGGCTCAAGTATTATTTTTTGTTATGGATTCAGAAACTCGTGCATCAGCTGGAGCTATCGAAGTGGCTTATATAGCTGGACAAAATGCAAGACAGTTAGTACTCGTGCTACACGCATATAGACCAGATCAATGTATAAACAATGAGCCAGTATCAGCACAAGAGTACACTGACTTAAGTCGTAACCAACAGTTATTAAAAGAAATGGTTCAAAGGCGAGGCATACCAGTGCTAGATAACATTTCGGAAGGATTAAAACGAACGAAACAAATATTAGCTGGTGTTTGTGACCCGCCAACAAGTATTTCATCAGTTTTGATTAAAATACGCGGAGCTTTTGATCGGGTTTCTACAAATGACTTCGAAATGACCACAAAAAATTCTAAATCAAATTCAATTTACCTTCCATATAATGGTAACAAAATTACCTTAGAACAATGTCAATTAGCGTTATCATTTATTGGGTATGCTCAAAGCCTTTTAAAATTAGAAAATTTAAAAAATATATTATTGTCATATAAGGAACCGTTGCAGCTTCACGGCATAGTTTCGCCAACACAATCGATCGAACAAGAATTAAAAACAAAAACTCAAACATCGCCAACAAAAAATAAAAAGCTAAGGGATATTTTTAATGTTAAATCTAATTTTTATAATGAAAATTATATTAATTTTGATGAATTTTGTATAATCGCAGCTCATTTATCCTTACTACAACAAGAAATATATGAACATGGCTGTATTTCACCAATTAAAGGTACAAATATAACGCCACCACCTATTTTTTTTGCTAACATGCAAGAAACAAGTGGAGCAGAAAACGTAATATTAAGGTCATCTAGTTTTAATAATAGTAAAAGGATACTACGAACAGGAAGCTTTAGTATATCATCAATGTTATCCCCGACATTACAATCATATTCTCCAACCCATAACTTAATACCGGCATCAATTACACCAGTAAAAATTGTTAAAGAAAAGCATTCTACATTGAACGAACGAAACAATAGTGGAGACAGTGGTACATCTTCTCCACAACCACCTTTAATGCAGGAATTTGGTACACAATTAACTTTAAATTCAAGTGGAAGCACAAGCTGTAGTAGTTGTAATAATTTTAGTAGCAATGCACCAACAGCACCACTAAACTCAAAATCTAAATTTAATTTTGGCAATCAAGTTATTTCTTCAAGAAATTCTGGCAACTTTGATCAAATGCTATTGGCAAATCAAAATAATAATTATGATTCAGCTTTAGAAGACGAATCTGATTCGAATGATTCAGTGTTCTCAAGCGGTAGTTCCGTTAATTCGTATTTATGTGAAAGTAAATCATCTTTCTCATCTGTTATTGGTAAAGAATTTTGTGACGTTTATTTGGGAGGCAGTTGCTTCTTACGTACAACGTGGCGTTGTAAGATCGCTATACCGTATTTAAACTCAAGGGGAATTACATATCATTTACCAGCGCTACATGAAAGTATAATACCATCACCAAAGCTAAAACGTTGGTTAAGTGAAATATCGTCAAAATCAGAAGAAGACAACACTTATTATGATGAAAAATTATTAATTAATTTAAACAAGAATTTTAGATCAAAAAATACCGATGAAGAATTATCTTGGCCAAGTGTAATAAGAAAAAATTTATATAATCCATCCCTCTTAGACTCAAGTCGAATTTTATTATTTGTAATTACAAATGAGACTAGATCCTTAGCTCCAATGACGTTGGCTGCCCATTGCATTGGTTTAATGTATAACGTTATATTATGTGTTCAAATGTTATCTGAAAATGATTGTTACATTGGCAATGAGAAATTGACAACAACTGCAATCAAAGATTACAATCGCGGTAGATCTTATTTAATTGATTTAGCTAAAAGACAAGGTGTTCCAGTTTTTGATGATATTAAAGAAGCATTAGATTGTGTTGCTGAGAAACTGAAAGCATCATATTCCAGAAATAATCTATTACAAAATAAATTTCTACGAATATTATAAAATTTAGTCAAAATAAAAATTAAAGCAAAGTATCTTCATAAATGTATGTATTAGCTGTTTTATGCTTATTATTCACGATGTGATTACTGTTTTATTTCTTATTTGTGAAATGTGATTATTTATGTTATTAAATTGTATAGGGAAAATGAATTTATAGTTATAAAAACACCTTGCACTAATAGTAATATGTACATACATATATAATTGCTGTATAACCAAAATCGCAACGTATATGATCAGCATTAAAACTTTTCTTCATACAGTTTGTAGTGAATTAATTTGGTTGACCATTTTTTAAAAATAAAGAACAAAGATAACTTAAAAATAGGTTAGGGTTTATAATAAGTTTCTTATTTGTTCTAATACTCAATGAAATTTAATTATTAACCTTGCTATGAATTGTAAAATGTTTTAGATAATATTTAATGTAAATAATTCATTTAAATAAGTAATTATACTTTGTATTATTTATTTAACTTTAAAATTTTTATGCTTTTATTAGTTGACAAACAAAACAAAATCTCAAAAAAAAAAAAAAAACATGTTAAAAAATTAATTATTTAAAAAGCTAAAACAATACTGTAAATAATTAAAAACTTGATATAAATTGAAAATTTATAAAACTATGTTTATTATATTTCATGTATTTATATAGGATGTTAATATACAGAAGAAAATCAACTAAATTAAATAGCTTGGTACAAGTATAGAACTACAATTATAGATCAAAAATATACATATATGGATTAAAATTTAAATTTGGATCAATTCCAAATGTAGTAATATTCTTCGGACATGCATTTTCATAGTGGTGCATTTGCTTTAATGCCAAAAATTAATTGTCATAATAAGACGGAAGAAATTGTCTTTCTCCTCTATTTTGGAGAAGTTACATACACACATACGTTATATACATATAGGGATGTATTTACCCATATAGTTTTTTTAATTATCATCAATTCTATACATAGGTTTTTATGTTGTGTGTAAACTTGCAACTAGTTTAAAGAAACAAATAAATTCCAAAAACAAAACGAGACTCACAGAAAATAAAATTATTGAACCCTATTTGAAACACTTCATAAAACAAATAAACTTTGTATATTTTAGCCTTTTACCTACTTAACGATTTACTTAAAATTAGACATATTTTCTTAAGCCACGAAGCTAAAAATATTTTGAAAAACAACCAAACATACAAAACTCTTCTATATTCCGATATTATGTTTTTTTTAGTATGTTTAACAAAGCGGTATAGATACGAGTAATACATGGTAACTCACTTATTTCCCTCAATTTTTATGCTTCAATATTTCTATCTCGAACAGGTTTCATTATAACGCATTAATTTGTATTACAACAAATTACCTTTATACTTAAAAATAGTAACTCTGACACATATAATAGATTTACTTTTTTATAGATCTATCAATTAAAACCAATCCATAGTTTTTATATGACATGTATAATAGCTAAGTTTCTATTCGAATATGTTCTTGCGGAGCTTCATACTAAATAAACTATTCATGAACATTATACATGTTATATTCTTAGGAACTATTTCGGGCTTGGATCCTGACGGGATTGGTGTTCAGGAAGATCCTTTGCGCAAAAGTTTAGAACATACATAAATATATTTTTACCTTTTTTTTCTTTGCAAGAAATGACGTCAATGTATTCTATTTTTAAAGTTTTTTTCAAGTTTTATACCAGACAAGACAGACCTAATGTATATTCTTAAGTATAATATTTGATCTGTTCAGGTATCCCTTGCTTAACGACGTTTTTGGGACCAAAAATTTACGAAGTAAATTGAAATGACGTTATAAAATTTATATTAAACACCTACATAATATACATTCCTTTTTATCTATGAAATAATAAACAATTATGTAAGTGCTATAAACTTAAAAATTTATTCCAATTTTTTTGTAAATACATTTACATATGTAACAAAACTTGAATAGATATTTCAACTTCTTTTGAAGTTGTATAAATATTTTTCAAATTCTTTAAGATTCACAAAAAATAATGCTATAAGATACTAATAGAAAATTGCTATACGTTTATTACACATATGATATAAGTATTTATGTTCTTAATTTTTAGAGAGTTGATGGCACATTTCATGCATGGTAATAACATGTATGTATGTTTGTGTGTACATAATTTTAGGTATGTACTTTTTAAATTTAAATTAAATTTGAATCAATGATACAAAAGTAATTAGAACTTCAAAAAAAAAGTTTAAAACGAGTAAATAACGTTATGTAAATTAGTGGTATTAAAAATTAAAAGAGCGTAAATCGAAATGCCTTATATAGTGTATTATAGATAATTGTATTATTTAAAAACTGTTTAAATTTTTTTTTGCTCTCCGCGTAGCTTTATCTGATATAGAATTTATTTGGCGCTAGTTCATGCATACGTATATGGAGTTACAAAATAATTGTGTTAACTAGGTATGTAATACATAATATTAGTCATACTGAACAGAACAAATGAAACCATGTGTTGCATATTTTTGAAATTTTGGATTTCTTAAAATTGGATATTTAGATATACAAACCTTTAAACATTTAACTTTATTGAATAACACATTGTAACGGTTTAAAATTTGCTAATATATTAAAGTTTTGTTGAAAAATGCGCAAGAACTTATTTTAGAAAATTACTTTATTTTAGAAAATGACTTAATCAATTGAAACACACCTTAAAATTATTTAAGATTACAACACAATTGATAGTATTGTGCGGTACATTGGAAAATATACATGCCAATCATATATTATGTATATAATAATGTAGTATTTTTTATTTGGACCATATACTTGTACAAACATAATCACTTTTTATGCTAGTATGTTAATGGCAACTGAAAAAATTTATTCTATGGAATTACCAAATATCTACTATCCTATTTAGCTAATAACTTACAAACCAAATATGAAAAATAAGTACCTACCTAAAGTACATATTTTATTTATATTAATTATAAAAAAATTTGCAGAGCCTGTGTTCTCTTTCTTTCGTTGTTTTAGAAGCATGAATACATTATTTCCACATACATATACTTATGTACATATATACATATATTTAAAACTTTGAAATTTTTTTTAATTCCAAAAATGGTAAAACATGTAAATCAACTTTTTTTATTTAGATATTAAAGTTACATTAAAAATGTGAAACTTACAAATTCCAGGTAATTCTTCGAAAGAAACTATATTTTTATCCACCAAATCTAATTCTCGATTTTGGGTTTCTTTAGCTTCATCAAGTACTTTCCTTGCCTTCGACATTTTTGTATTGACTGGCAAACAAGACACTTGACTACTCATTTTATTTTTTTTTTTGTTTGTTTAACGCGATGATTCACCTACGTAATTTTCAAATAGAATTAATTATTAAAATGACATAATGACGTTATTTTGTTGAATCTTGAGATATTTAAGAATAAATTGAATTTTCTGTGTTTAATATTATTAAAGGGTATATAGAAAATATGGAATATGGGTCAAGTAATTTATCAACTCTTATAAAACAGATATACACATTAACTTTTTGTTTTTATTTATTAGTAAAATATATGTACGTATATAAACATAAGTAAATTGCTTAAAAAGCATCCTATCCCTAATACAGTGTTGGGAACTATCGAATAATTCGAAATGTTACGAATAATTTATTCTTTTTAGACATTCCCATGGTTGAGGTTAAGTTTATTCGATATATTCGACATCTTTCTTTCAATCGAATGTTTTTAATTTTTCCTTTTTAATAAAAATTTTTTTCCAGAAAATATTTTGTTCTGTTCTTGATGAAAACTTGTACGAAATAACACGGTAATATAATCAACATGTGAACATCGTAAAAGAATAATAATTGTCAACTCAAATTGACAAAATTCTCGCGAACTACATGCAAATGAATGTAACATCTTTCTAAAAGGAACTTAGCACTATCACCTTTTTTATTGTTTGTGAGGAAACTACGTACTGATCAAAAATACCTAAATAATCGCGTACCGCGTTTACCTATTTTTAAAACATAAATAAATAGAGAATGACAAAAACTCAAAAATACAACAAAACAAAATCATTTACACGCCTTGTCAGTTTATATATTTTAAAAAATAAACGTATATTACGTTCCGACTCTCATTTAAATATACGTTGACAATTTGTAATTCAATAAGTATATACGCAAAATATAACTTTAGTTTGTCGTAATACAATTTGTCCTACCGATTGTGTTTGGTAAACATTATTATCTATTATAAACACTTTAAATTCAATACGAACATTCCTTGATACATGCGATACTGAACTATTTTCAGTATTTGTTCATTCGAATATTAAAAAATTCGATAGTGCAAACCATTCGGTAGTGCCTATCACTACCCTAAAATAATTCTTACAAAAGTAAAATGTTTTGATGTCAAAATGACAGCACATAAAGTAATGTTAAAGAAAGAGATAAATATATTTCAATAGTTTTAAAATCTAACTAAACATAAGGTGGATTTACACGTGAAAGGTTGTGCAGTGCCCAGAATTTACTTTGCGTTACCTTTCACACATATTCTTCTATAAATTCATTTTATTTTTTGTAGTAGAAAATCATAAATGCATGGTTTTATATGTACAGGCTCAATGAATGCATGCATGAACAGGTCTAAAATGCATTATAAATTAATTTTGAAATAAAAATCATTTTTGTGGGGGCGAGAGTTACGGCTTATAAGCTCGATTTGTACTAAACCTGCATTTTGGGAATTAAGCAATATGGACATGAATATACATATGTACAGATTATTTATTTATTCTCATCAAGATTTAAAAAATGACAAAGCTAAACGTAAAGTGAAAAGAAAAATTTAAAATATTAAATTGGCGAAGTCATCATCTTCCAATTCGTTGAAATAACTATCATATTCTTTCTCATTTTTCAAATCCTTAGTTGATATAGGAGTTCTTGGAATATCTGCATCATCAAGTTCATTAAATAAGTATTCGTAGTCACTAGCGCCCCCAGTTTCTGTGCTAGTTTTTGACTTGTTTTCTCTATCATCAATTGTACAGTTCTCATTGCAACCCGATCCTATTGTTTTGTTTAATACTTTTGCACTTTCTAAATTACTAAAAGTCTTAGGTTTCTTTTGTGCTTCATAATTTTTTGCAACAGATGTTAGGGATAAAGGTTCATTAAAGTCTTCAAGTTTTCTTTTCGTTGGAGTTAAATATCTATCAATTTTTGGACTAGAGCTAGGTGCCAAACTATGTTCAGCGTTCTGTAAATTTTCAGAAAACAAGCCAGCATGTCTTAAAACATTCTGCTTTTCTTTTAACATTTTCCATATTGTGGTATCAGCAGTATTTTCAGCTAATAAATAACGACATGTTACTGTATTTTTTTGACCAATCCTATGTGCACGGCTTTCAGCTTGTGCCAATGTACTGGGATTCCAGTCTAATTCTGCAAAAATTACTAAATCAGCTGCAGTTAATGTTATACCTGCATTACAAGCGTGAAGTGACAATAAAGCTACTCTGCATAAATTATTTGTTTGGAATTTTCTAACGTTTTCATCTCGTACTTCAGGTTTCGTTGTGCCATCAATTCGAATGAAATTAACTTTTTTTGAAAGTAAAAAATCCGATATTGAATTCATCATAATTTTGTGGTGTGCAAATACTATGAATTTTTTTTGTTCTTTTATTAAATTTTTTAAATAATCACAGACAGCTCTTGCTTTAATTTCAGCAGTTTTTGCATAGTAAGTAAGAAGAATTTCTTTGTCTCCACTCCCATTTCTTTTTAATTTGTATTCATAATCGTTGAATTTTTTTTTTATTTCGTCGTTCCATCTTATTAGTTCTGGGTTCAACATAACAGTTTCACGATTTTTTTCTGCTAATTGTGATAAAACGTCAGACTTTAGTCTTCTTATCATAAATTTTTTTTTTAAAACAATATTTAGTTCTTCAAGGTTTGATTGTCCAGAAGAATCCCAGCCAAAATTTGTTTGTTTGCCATTACAGTACCTTTGACTAAATAGTTTGAAAGGTAGAAAATTTTTATCGAGCATTTTTAGTTGACAATAGAGTTCAACTGGTTTTGATAAAGCTGGGGTTCCTGATAATAGAATTATTCTTTGAGCTAGTTTCGCCAGCTTTTCAGCGTTTTTTGTTCGTTTCGCGTCAAAACTTTTTAAACTGTGGGACTCATCAAAAATCAATATTCCGAATTTACGTTCAATCAATTTTTCAACATGTTTTTCCATTAAACTATAGCTTGTTATTACAATTTTTGCATCATATATATAAAAATCTGATGAATTTAAATTAACCACATCATGACACCGAACTGAAGACATATAATTTTTGATATGATTGAACCAAGAGTTTCTTGTTGAAGCGGTTGTTGTAATTAAAATAGGCCAATCTTCTTTGAAATAATCTGCTATCGCCAATGCTTGAAGTGTCTTTCCCAAACCCATTTCATCTGCAATTAAAATGCGACCTTGTTTTGCTATACCAAAACATACACCTTCTTTCTGGAATTCCATTAAACAACTTACTAATTTTGGCTCAATTGTTGGGAGAAATGAAAAATCTATTTCTTCCTTGGATTCGCGCAATATATATAAAATTTTTTTTGGTATTTGTTCCAATTCAATTTCTGGTCTCAAAGCCATAACTTTTTCTTGTAAAATTTCATAATCACAAATATTGAAAGTCCATAGACGTGTATTAGCATCATATTGTTTTGAAGGAATGGTTTTCAAAATGTTAATTAGTTGTTCATGGTACTTCATGGGTTTAACAAAAAATCTGTTATCAGAAATCATTGCAACTTCACATACTATTTTTGATCCGAATATAGGAATCGCACTTCTTATTGGTGATTTAATATCATGACGATTTGAGTTTTTCTGTAATGCTAAGGCGAATTTTTCATAAGAATTTCCTCTATTTTCAACATTATTTGAATTCAAATCCGAACTTGAAACACTAGACTGTTTGTTATAAAACGCAACTGAAGTTCTAACTGAAAGAATATTACTGTCTGTCGAAGCCACATTATTAGAATATTTTTCAACAGCAACCTTCGAATAAGCTTTTATATGTTTATTTCCTACATTCCTTTTTGCAAGTTTTTCAACAGCAATCCTCCTTTTTTCAGCAATTTCTTCTGGAGTACAAACTGTTGCCATGTTTTTTACAACACAATATGTTTTAATGTGTTTCAATATGTGAGTTGAACGGCAAAACTATTTCAACTATTCCATCTAAAAAATAAAAACAAATCCAAAATCAAATACTCAAATTTTGTAAAAAAATATTCAATCATAAATATGTAACGTAATGTAAACAATGAACTAATATAAAGAAACTATAACTCAAAATTTATATTTTATCTAATGCCTAAAACAAAATGCTGTTTACGTTGACGTAAGTGAGAATGATAAAAACGTAACAATCTCAATATAAGACAGAAATGACATCAATGTAAGTATCGAAAAACAAATTAAATTTTTAACCATTGCTTTGTTGATTGACACTAGATAAAAAAATGTTTGGAGTATCTTCTGAAAGCTATCGTCATGACATATGCATATTTATATAAGCACCGCAATTCGCAACACAAGAAAACCATTTTTGACAGCCATCGCCATGACGTACGCATATACATATGTATGTAACATCAGTTTAAATAGAAAAGTCTATGCGCATTTACAAGAAAATTTTTCGCGGAATACTTTACTTCTTTCTTCATATTATGAGAAAAAAAGTTAATTCAAATCGTCCGAAGCGGGAAGGAAATTTTTTAGCGGCAAAAACACTTTTTGATTGGAAAAATTAAGCTGAGCAACGGCGCTTAACAAATTGTTCAAGAAGAAGAGGGAAATCATATATGAAATATTAATATGGAAAGAAGAATAAGATTACGTACTTTAAACACTCATATAACTTGCAAAATATGTGGAGGCTACTTCATTGATGCAACCACAGTCACTGAATGTTTACATACATGTAAGTCTCGAGAGTATTTAATTTTATATATCGGGAATTTGAATTGAATATTTTTCAAAACAAAGTTTTTATTGAAAAAATTAAACACACAACATAATTTTAGTTTGCAAAAGTTGTTTAGTAAAACACTTGGAAGAAAAGAAAACTTGTCCGACATGCGAGAATGTTATTCATCAGTCACATCCATTGCAATATATAAGTTTTTGTATTAAGTATATAAACTAGTACCGAATCTGCAAGAAAGTGCGTTGATATATTTTGCATTTTAATATGAACTTTTTGAAAAGAAATATTTCTTTTTAGATGAAATGAAGAGGGAAAGAGATTTTTATAGAAGTCGTAATATAGCTTGTCCAAAAGATTTACTACAGAATCATGAAGATGATGATGACAAGGTTAATGAAGCACATGCTGAATCCGGCTATCATAGTTTAGATGAGCTAGTTAATGTTTGTTTAGAGTGTAGTAGTAACAATTTAAAAAATTTGCAATGAAGGTTTTCTAGGTGTAGTTCTCAATCAACTATCACTCATTTAAAGAAATTTTTAGCAAAAAAAAGTTTTAAATGGAATAGAAAAATATAGAGAGGTATAAATCTTTTTCAATATCAAAATAGGCATAACAAATCTCAATGACCAATGATTTGAGACCTTGAAAACGTGAAAGTATGTGAATTAAAATTAGCACTTTGTGCAGAAAATCGCGAATATATATATGTACGCATTTAAATTTATTGTCAAGTTTTATTTTAGTTAAAATAAATTTAAGGGCTCTTTGAAAATTAATATAATTGAGAATTGACATATTCTGTTTTGCCTAATATTTTGAAATATTTGTGAAATTTCAAATAATTATTTATTTTTTAGATTGATATTTTATGCAATGAAGAACTTTTGGGTAAAAATCATACATTAAAATTTGTATATGTTACCCGACGGCGTTTTTTAAATTGTTTTTAAAAATAAATATAGTGATCAATATAATGTATAACTCAGAATATTAAGGCAAAATAATATAAGTTTAAGATATATTCATGTATATTAATGAATTTAATGTACAAAGTGGTCCGTAACTGGTGTTAAAGCATTCGTGGGGTGATTCCTCAGATACTCGTGTTTTAATCAATTATTTTTGTACCAATAGTAGCATTTTAAATTAAGTTTTTTAATAATCACTTGAAAATAAAAAAAATTACATTAATTTCGTTTAGTTTTACAATTTATATTTTATAATATTAAACATAAAGCTTAAAAAAACAAAATTTTTATTTGCAAATAATAATGTTTTCATTTTGAAAAATAAAAATGCAAATTTTTTGAATGATGAAACGGGTTAGTACGTTTCCAATTTTTATATCTTTCAAAATGTGAGTAATTTAAGGAAGATTTTTTTCGTGCTTTCGTTCTAATTTTGGAATTTTAATTTTTTATATTATTTTGCCAATTTTTTCGAAAACTTTACTTGTTTTTTTTTTAGTATAATTATTATAAAACCAATCCATATGTATTTTATTTGAATCTAACAGACTATGTTTGTGCTTGGATTCTATGATTCTTACAATTTATTATACTTTGCTTTTTTATTGACAGCTACATAAACATAAATTACTTTGTGTGCATTTATTTTGTGGTCGTTTATACCTCACTAAAAAATATGGGAAAATATTAATAAAAAGTTAGAATACGTACACATACATAAGTGTAAATGTAATAAAGGCATTAAAATTGTAAAACTTACATATTTTAAAAGCTTTTTAAGTATGAAATCCCTTTTGTTTTTTAAAATGGATATGTATGCAAATAAAATACATATGGACATGTCTAATTTATAGCTTAAATTTGTTGGTCATTTAGTGAATATGTAGATAAACACATACATATACACTAAACGATCAGTAAAATAAAATTTGAAGAAAAAAAATCAATATGAAATGTGTTTAACGCATACATTTGATTTGAAACGAAAACGCGTGAATATAAACATGTTGCAAATAAAATTATTAGAACATGTTTATAATTTGTTGACAGAAGATTTAGTATGTCAAAATTTTTTTTATTTTAGTGTTCAGTTTGGACACATATTGTAAAGTAAAAATCGGCGTTTTAGCAAAAAAGCTTCCGAAATCGTCCAATTATATATGAAAACGTTAAAAAATATCGCCCAAATTATTAAGCTAATTATACCCAAAACACAAATTTTATAGTTGGTATTGATTATGACATAAATTCTCCAGTCTGAATATAAATACTTGACAACAGATAGCGCTGAACGTCATACTGGAAAAAAACTTATTGGATTATAGTATGAAAGTTTACTGGGTTTACTTACGTTGAAAGTTTACTGGGAACTTTTTGAAAAGAAATATTTCTTTTTAGATGAAATGAAGAGGGAAAGAGATTTTTATAGAAGTCGTAATATAGCTTGTCCAAAAGATTTACTACAGAATCATGAAGATGATGATGACAAGGTTAATGAAGCACATGCTGAATCCGGCTATCATAGTTTAGATGAGCTAGTTAATGTTTGTTTAGAGTGTAGTAGTAACAATTTAAAAAATTTGCAATGAAGGTTTTCTAGGTGTAGTTCTCAATCAACTATCACTCATTTAAAGAAATTTTTAGCAAAAAAAAGTTTTAAATGGAATAGAAAAATATAGAGAGGTATAAATCTTTTTCAATATCAAAATAGGCATAACAAATCTCAATGACCAATGATTTGAGACCTTGAAAACGTGAAAGTATGTGAATTAAAATTAGCACTTTGTGCAGAAAATCGCGAATATATATATGTACGCATTTAAATTTATTGTCAAGTTTTATTTTAGTTAAAATAAATTTAAGGGCTCTTTGAAAATTAATATAATTGAGAATTGACATATTCTGTTTTGCCTAATATTTTGAAATATTTGTGAAATTTCAAATAATTATTTATTTTTTAGATTGATATTTTATGCAATGAAGAACTTTTGGGTAAAAATCATACATTAAAATTTGTATATGTTACCCGACGGCGTTTTTTAAATTGTTTTTAAAAATAAATATAGTGATCAATATAATGTATAACTCAGAATATTAAGGCAAAATAATATAAGTTTAAGATATATTCATGTATATTAATGAATTTAATGTACAAAGTGGTCCGTAACTGGTGTTAAAGCATTCGTGGGGTGATTCCTCAGATACTCGTGTTTTAATCAATTATTTTTGTACCAATAGTAGCATTTTAAATTAAGTTTTTTAATAATCACTTGAAAATAAAAAAAATTACATTAATTTCGTTTAGTTTTACAATTTATATTTTATAATATTAAACATAAAGCTTAAAAAAACAAAATTTTTATTTGCAAATAATAATGTTTTCATTTTGAAAAATAAAAATGCAAATTTTTTGAATGATGAAACGGGTTAGTACGTTTCCAATTTTTATATCTTTCAAAATGTGAGTAATTTAAGGAAGATTTTTTTCGTGCTTTCGTTCTAATTTTGGAATTTTAATTTTTTATATTATTTTGCCAATTTTTTCGAAAACTTTACTTGTTTTTTTTTTAGTATAATTATTATAAAACCAATCCATATGTATTTTATTTGAATCTAACAGACTATGTTTGTGCTTGGATTCTATGATTCTTACAATTTATTATACTTTGCTTTTTTATTGACAGCTACATAAACATAAATTACTTTGTGTGCATTTATTTTGTGGTCGTTTATACCTCACTAAAAAATATGGGAAAATATTAATAAAAAGTTAGAATACGTACACATACATAAGTGTAAATGTAATAAAGGCATTAAAATTGTAAAACTTACATATTTTAAAAGCTTTTTAAGTATGAAATCCCTTTTGTTTTTTAAAATGGATATGTATGCAAATAAAATACATATGGACATGTCTAATTTATAGCTTAAATTTGTTGGTCATTTAGTGAATATGTAGATAAACACATACATATACACTAAACGATCAGTAAAATAAAATTTGAAGAAAAAAAATCAATATGAAATGTGTTTAACGCATACATTTGATTTGAAACGAAAACGCGTGAATATAAACATGTTGCAAATAAAATTATTAGAACATGTTTATAATTTGTTGACAGAAGATTTAGTATGTCAAAATTTTTTTTATTTTAGTGTTCAGTTTGGACACATATTGTAAAGTAAAAATCGGCGTTTTAGCAAAAAAGCTTCCGAAATCGTCCAATTATATATGAAAACGTTAAAAAATATCGCCCAAATTATTAAGCTAATTATACCCAAAACACAAATTTTATAGTTGGTATTGATTATGACATAAATTCTCCAGTCTGAATATAAATACTTGACAACAGATAGCGCTGAACGTCATACTGGAAAAAAACTTATTGGATTATAGTATGAAAGTTTACTGGGTTTACTTACGTTGAAAGTTTACTGGGAACTTTTTGAAAAGAAATATTTCTTTTTAGATGAAATGAAGAGGGAAAGAGATTTTTATAGAAGTCGTAATATAGCTTGTCCAAAAGATTTACT